GTGCCACGAATTACACAAATGATGTTTGTCAATCTTAAAAAATGATTTCCATGTCAAAAAAGCCACAGTTTGTCGAAAAACTGTTGAAATATAAGACTATGACAAATACGCAACTAGAAAGAATACAAATCCCATAATGCCGGTCCTGCATTCTGGCTCTTACGGAACCGACTAACTCCCCTTGTGTGTATGTACAGCTCTCAACATGCCCAGACTTGTAGTGATTTGCACCTCATTTAATACTTTTTGCCTCATTCTGAAAGAAAGAAGTGAAATGTGCCAACGTGACGGCCGTCTTGGTGTGTGGTGCAAAACGGGAGATGTAGTTCATTGAGCGGTTTCACACAAAAAAAAGTGTTCACAGTTTTACGACACATTTTTATTTTTTTGACTTGCAAAATTATCTTTTAAATTGACAAACATCATATGTGTAATTCGTGGCACAATTCAAACGGAATCGAAAGATAATCTTTCTCTCCCCATTGACTTCAATACATAATTTTTCCAAAATAAGGTCCCATGGAGCTCCCCCGGAAAGGGAGGGACTACGCCTCTCTATGCCAGTGGGCTCTCCAGAGCCTCGCTGCTGTTTCCTGGTCCATGGTCAGTGGTCAAGGAGGAGACAGCGACAACTTCTAAATTTACAGCATGGCAGTAATTTAATGGAGCATTAATTTCTGCATGCAATAACTGAGGTCCAGCACAGATTGTAAGCTGATGCAGGCGTGCCATTTAGCAAGGCACTGAATTGTTTCCAAGTGCTGCCCCTGACCTATGACCTTCTCAAAAACAGGGCTTCATCTGCAGAGTTGGGTTGGGTACTACCAAACCAAATGTAATTAATGGCTTGTGTAGAATAAGTAGGCTACCATCATCAAGAACAGTCAAACACAGTCAGACAAAAAGAGATCTGTCGGCTAAAATTAATGGCAAACATTTTAACACACGATCATTGCTGTGCATCCTTATAAAGCATATTCAATGTACAGAAAACACAAACCATGAGAGTGAGATAACAAGCGGGGTCAGTCCAAAGTTTAGACTCTAAACATCAGCAGTCTAATTCCTTTCTTATCTGTCTTGAGATTTTAAACAAGGTTATTTTTTCTGAGGCAAATAAGATAAGTCTTTCTGCCTTTTTAGGGATCACTGTTAATATTTCAGCTCCTGACTTCAAATATCTGCAGAGACTCGCATTTACTAAAGGAATATATTCACTTTATTTTACCAGGAGCTCATTTACATAAATTCTAATTGTAAAAATCGCCTTGAATTGGCACAAAATAATGATCAGTGTTGTTGAATCAATTAGCAAAAGATTAACTTCAGCAAAAGCTGCACATCTGCAGTGTAACTGAAATGTTATAATCCCATACTAATAATATCCAATCCCATAATGATAAAAATAAACCAATTAACCTCTAATCAGGTCAGCCACGAACATTTTACATTCATCACTGACTGGAGAAGACAATCTGGTGAATAAACAATGGGAGCAGAATACATAAAAGCACAATTATAAGAATGCAGAATTATAATTTGGTCTCTACAATTTTAAGATTATAAAATGCTGCAGTTGAGACAGAACTTTTTTTCTCCTCTTCTTTTTTGTTACTTTCAGAATCAAGTGTTAGTCAGAGGATTTCCTGTATCAGTATGAGCTGTCTCTGACGTCTATAAGGCCACACTAAGTTCCTGTTAACTGTAAAAAAAAAAAAGTGCCTTAAAGCTAGCCAACAATGTTTATATTTCCACTAATAATATCCATGTAGAAAAGAGACGGATAATTCATTCACAGAGAGCAGAACAATCCTGGCGTGAAGCAAATGTTGCGAAAATAAATTGCAAAAGTAAACATAGCCTAACATACAGCAAACTTAGATCGATTAACATAATCTTGCATGACATCTAAAACTGACAGCAAGTATTAACTTGCTGTAAATTATTTCTGTTAAAAAAGAGAATCTGTTTTTCTTTCAGTGTGAATAATATGAGTGTGGATCCCACATCAAGTTCCAAATGAATTGAGCTCCCTATCTCTGCAACCTTTGTAGATGTGTGCCCGTGTTATCAGCGCTCACAGAGCACCTCGACGGCTCTGAGTCGGCAACATGATACAGCATACGGTGTGCCAGACTCCCTCACGGCTGCAGCATTACATACTGATCATATCGGAAGAGAGAGAGAGGTGTGGGAGCCGAGGAGGGTTGCGTCAGCACGAGCGCTATCAATCACTGGCATTCCTTCACTCTCGAGCAGCTGGCCCATTCAGAGGTCACGTATAACATAATGGATTCTCTCTGACACACACTTTTCCCTCCATTTTCACCACGATGAGAAAAGCCCCTAAATGAAGAATGTGTCTCACTGTGATACATCACTTTATTTCACACGTATAACACAGCCTTTTGATTATTTTAAATCAAATCAAAGTTTATTTATAAAGCACATTTAAAAGCGATTTTTGGTCGGGCCAAAGTGCTGTATAAAAACACATTAGGCTACTACAATCACAATAAAAGACAATAAATTACAACAGATATAAAAAGGAGCTCCAACAAGCTGTTTAGGACAGAGAGTGAATACACATCCTATACAGAGATGCTGTATGAGAAACCAATGTGAGTTTGGAAAATTGCACAATGTAAATCTATTCTAGTAGACCTCAACAATGGAATTATGATCAGTAGAAATGGCCATGACATGGGACCTTTAAACAATAAGTAAACGAGACAAAGCTCTGAGTTAAAGTATCTCTCTGTCAGCTGAGCTCCTTCACCTTCCTCATGTGTGTCCTCCCTACAGTACACTTCAAGTAGCACGGAAATGCAGATAGAAAACAAATGCTTTCAAAACGTTCCAAGCAAAGTTGATGAGTGGAAGTTTATGAGCTTATGTGAGACGGTTATGGGTGGAGAACTTATAGGGAAATGTGGTAGATCACAAGGGATGCCACAACTCTGTCTCTGACCCGCCAGTGAACCCCTCTGATCCATGGCTCTCAGAAGTGGCAGAGCAACTGCTTTAAAGTTTGAATTATTATTACATAACAGGAAGTGA